CTGAAATTGCCTGGGATAGGCAACAACAACCCCAGCAGGCAATGGCAGCAGGCAGCGTGATTGGCAGCTGACAGGATGGGGTGGTAAGTGCCAATGATGGCATCAATTCATCGACTCCCACGCCAGGATATGATGGGGAGCAGCGGGACCCAACTCACCTCATCGCCCGCCTTGAGCAAACCCTGCCGTGGTCTCCAGGGCCGCGAATAGGCTCACAGATGGAATCTTCATGCACGATGCAGAGATGTGCCTCCAGCCTCATCCAAGCATGCTATCCATCTCATTTTCTTTGCCAGCACTAGATGACGTTTAATTATTTCTTTTAATTTCCAGCTGAAGTTGCCTTGAGAAGTCCATCATTTATGCAATTACATCGCCTTCATGTGACAAAGCACCAAAGAACTAAGCCTTCTGGTCCTGGGAGGAGGGTGGGATCGGAAAGACAAGGGTCAGCACCCCATGGTGACCCAAGTATCAGCTTAAAATTGCAATGTGTTTCCTTGGAGTGGGAGCAACCACCCGGCTCCTCTTTGGTGAATCAGTCCTGACCTCCTGGGGCGGGTGCCTTTGTGTGAATATGCTCATAAATGCTCTTAATTCCCACCTATTTATTGTCACCTTTCTCCTAAGCACCAGCTTCACTTGCCACCTCAGACAGCATTTTCCAATGTTCCTGCCTGGGGTTAAGATCTTGAACCCTCATTTAAGCACCTCAACAAACACAGTCTGTGGCTTTGCATACCACCTCTCTGAGCTTCTACACACAAAACACCCTGTTAATAATTATTTGCAGCGTGGGACTTGGCATCCCAGCTTCTCTGGCTGCGAAACCCTGAGTGTTTCCCAAGGAGCTCTGCCACCAGGGTGGTTTAGGGTTAGGTCAAAAATGTGAAGATTCTTGCCCTGTGCTTGCGGCGAAAGATGCTTGTAGGTTATGGGTGGAGGGAGATGCGGGAGCATCCCTGGTGGACACCGCAGCTGTGCCCAGGTCCTGCAGCCTCCAGCATCTTTTCCCACTGCAGCCAGGCGACAATAAAGCTGAACTGCTTGGACATTGCCAATGCAGATGTCTGTTAGCAGCTAAATACCTGCAGCACCACCTTTTCATAAAAAAATTCCTTTCTCTCTCATAGCGCTAAACTGTTTTTTTTTAGCATTGTAACCCTAAATTGCCTGGTGCAGTGAGTGGGGGATTAAGGGCATGCTTCTGGGCAAAGGTCTCCTGTGAACTCTATGGGGCCAGCCGGATGCAGCCTCCAATCCCTGGGGTCATGTGCTGCCCCTGAAACAAGGGCCACTTGTTTGGCACTGTTGGCAGGGCTGGGCTCAGTGGAGAAGGCAGCTGGCCTGCCTGTGGCTGAGTGGAGCAGGGGGATCACCTGCTTCCCTCCCTGCACCGGGAGGGTGTCATGGGGGTGTCCCAAGCAGTGGCGGGTCAGTGCCAGGGAGGACCCCGACACTGGGCAGCTTCAGCTGGGACAGTGCAGGGTTGCTGAAAAGCATTGTGGTTTAACCCCAGCCAGCAACTAAGCACCACACAGCCACTCTCTCACTCTTCCTGCCCCGGTGGGATGGGGGAGAGAATTGGAGGAGTAAGAGTGAGAAACACTCCTGGGATGAGATAAGAACAGTTTAATAATTGAAATAAAATAAAGTACAATAGTAGTAGTAATAATAACAATATAATAATAACAATAATAATAATAAACAAAGCAAGTGATGCACGATGCCATTGCTCACCACCTGCCGACCGATACCCAGACAGCTCCCGAGCAGCGATCGCTACTCCCCGGCCAACCCCCCTCAGTTTATATACTGAGCATGATCTCATATGGTATGGAATAGCCCTTTGGTCAGTTTGGATCAACTATCCTGGCTGTGCCCCCTCCCAGTTTCTTGTGCACCTGGCAGAGCATGGGAAGCTGAAAAGTCCTTGACTAGCATAAGCAGGACTTAGCAACAACTAAAACATCAGTGTGTTATCAACATTATTCTCATACTAAATCCAAAACACAGCACTATGCCAGCTACTAGGAAGAAAATTAACTCTATCCCAGCTGAAACCAGGACAAAAGCAATGGCCAGAATCAAGTGCAGGTCCTCAGAGTCCCCTTTGCACCCTTTCATTTCTTTTCCTGGAGTGGAAAGGTGTGAAACCCAGCAGTGCTCAAAGGCAGCTTGTCCCTGCGGGTGGCACGGTGGTGTGACCTGCTCCTGCTTGCCCTGGCCCCCCAAAACCTGAGATGGATATTAGAGAAGCATCCTGCAAACAGCCCCAGCAGCTAAACCCCCTTTGGGCTGTAGTAGCAGCAGGAGACCCCTGGGCACCAGCAAGCCCTTGAAGGAGGGAGATTAAAATGCCTCAGAAAGCCAAGACCCATTATGGATGCCTGTAAGACAGAAACAAGTTTGCCCTTGTGGCATGGAGTGAAGCTGCAGCAGTCCTTGCTGGAGAGTGTTTTTGATGCTCCATCTTTGGAGCAGGGCAATAAAGGGCAGTTTTGATGCTACACCTCTGAGCCATGGCCCGAAGCAGCTGCACTTGGCCCTATATGACGCAATCCCGCAACCCCCAAGCTTCCTTCTTTTTTTTTCCCATTTTGGGCACATTTTGCCTTGTCATCCCCCACTGTGTTGACAGTGCTGGAGGAAGGCACGCGGCACCTTCCCCCTGCCTCAGCAGCTCTTGCCCTGTGAAGGCTCACGTGGGCCTGTCCCCACCACCCTTGACTCAGCTAATTCTCACTTGGCCAAGGCATTGACTAAACTCCTGCTGGCAAAGGCAATGGGTTGGAGCGGCAGAGGATGTCTGGGACCACCACTGCTGCCACCACTGCTGGGTCCATGTCCCCACCACCAGCTGCTTCCGAAGCAGATGGCTGTACACAGTGAGCAGGGCTGGAGATGGGTGTTTGGATCCCGCCAGAGCCTGGTGGTATCTGACCTCCATAAACGTGGGATGAACATCTGTACCTGCTCACCGGGCATGTTTTGAGCATCCCATAATTAATGTTTGCTCAGTGATTGAGGCTGATGGGTGCTTAGTGTTATTAGCAAATGATAAGTAGCTGATGTTGTTGATGTTGCTACCTCGAGACATCTAATTTCAGCACCTGGACTGAGCAAAAGGGCCAGGGGCCAGACTGCCAGTGCCAAGACCCTGCTGGGCTTTGTGTCTTTGGAGGTGGCTTCCTACCAAAGGCCTGCACATGGGCATGCCTGTGCTGCTCTGGCATCACTGAGTTTGGACTCACATGGTGGCAGGGACAGGACCTGTGCCAGTGGCACGGTGGGGCCAGCAGCTCCCCTTGCTAGGGTGAGATGTGCAGAGCGCATAAGCCCAGGGTAGCAGGGAGTGGGAGTGGGCTTGGGGACACAGATGCAAGAAGACGTTCAGGGGCCTAATCCAAAGTCCACTGAAGGTTTCGTGTGTATTTAACCCATCTTGATGCACGCATATAAGACTGGATAAAAGAACTAAATGTGCATAAAGGAGCACTGAGTTATCTCAGCCCTCCTCCCACAATGCTGAACTTGGGCATGAGGGACAAGCGCTCACATGGGGATGTTCATTTATTTATTTATTGGGGGGAAGAAAGCATTGGTGAGAGTGATGCCTGTGAAGCCTTTAAAAAAAAATTACTTTCTGACTACGCTGAGAGTAAAAAAACTAAGCCACAGTTATCTTTATCTCCTCTGTCCATAATCCCGCTGACACCCAGCAGGCACTGCCCTGAGCAGCCAGTTTGTGTTTTCTTACAAGGTGGTTCTGGAGAGCTCCCAGTAATTTGGGGTGCTGTGTCCCCAGGCAGCAACAGTGGCCTCTAGTGGCAACCACTCACATCCAGCCCTGGGGAAAGAAACCTGCAAACGAATCTTGGTAGGCTGCTTGGTCCCCAGGAAAATTAGGACCAGAGTCCAAATTGCTAGAGGAGAGGCATCCCTGCATGGTGGATGGCTTGATGCCGGGCAGGGTCCTGAGCACACCCACGAACCCTGCCTGTGCCGAGCAGCTGCACCTGGGACCTCCCACCCATGCCCTCCGTCCACTGCCCTGGAGACCCATTTAAGCTCAGGCCTGGGCACCCAGTCCCTGATCCATGGGGTGTTAGTCTGCAGCCCTGGTCTCTGCATGGCTTGTGCTGTAGGCAGCCCATCTCTAGTGCCCTCTCCTGGAGGGACATGAGAGCTACATGGTAGCTCTGCCTCCTGGATGGACCTCAGACATGCAACCAAGGTTGCAGTCTTGTCGCTGGCCCATCTCCTGCAGCTTCAGTGTCCTACAGGTCTGGGTCTCCTAATGGCACTCTGTGAGCACCCTGTGTGCCTAAGGAAAGGTGACTTGTGCTATACCCTCTTCTATATAGGGGCACAGCTTGGGCTTGCTTTCTTCAACCTGGTCACCCATTTCTAAAAAGCCTGTAGGTCCTTTATGGATTTGAAGTCTTTCTCCCTCTGCTGAGTTTGTCTGGAGCTGCCTGAAGGATTTGATAACACATCAGTCTTCCCAGGAAGCCAAGCTGAGTGTGTCTGGTGAGGCAGGGTCTTGAGAGCTTCCTTTGGGCAGAGGTCCTGGGAGTAAATCTTGGAGACTGTCTGAGCACAGCCAAAGTTAGCATTTCTAATGCTTGGATTCATGCTTCCTTTAGCTCATGTGTGGGGTAATATCTTCATTTATTTCTTTGCAGAAGAGAAAAGTCTCCAGCTCCTACAGGGCAGGTAGGTGGTAGTCTTCAGTGTCACAGCAAGGGTGTCCTTCCTTCCTGGAGCAGTTGCATCTTTTGGCTTTATCCTAAGACCTGAAGGACCTCACATCAGGAGCAGAAATGAGCACCAAGTCTTGCCTGGTAGTCCGTGCTCTCATGCAATGCTCTCACCCCCTTTCCCTCTGGTTTGCTTGCTGCAGGTTAGGAAATCCTTCCCTCTTCACCAGAAGGTTTGCCTTCAACTGGCCCAGTCCCCTGTGCTGCTGGGAGGGAGGACTGCTGGCCTGAAGCCCATCAGCAGCAGGAAGGGACCCAGGCAGAGGGTACACCCACATCTTGAGCCCCCTGGATGTTATGAAGGCCATCATCAAAGAAAATGTGGGGCTGGATCTGGGCGAGGATGGGGCCCTTGGGAGCCCCGTCCATGAAGAAAGCCTCGTCGATGGCCAGACCCCACTCCCGGAGTGTCTTGATGGCTCGGACACCCATGTCCCGGCCACTGCGGGCGGTCACCATGTAGGTGCGGATGGGGGATTTTTCCTGGCTGAACTTCTTGCGGATCTTCCCAAGGTGCATGGCAAAAGCCTTCAGGGGACCCTGGAAGCACAGCAAGATACTTGGGAGTGGGTGGGAAATAAGGAGACATCTACTCTGCCTGTACAAGCCACTTGTTCCTCTTCCAGGGTCTCTCAGGGCTCTGCAGAACACAGGGATGCCTGTGGAGTGCAGGATAGGGCAGTGCTGGGACTGGTGCTGTGCACTGGGGTGCTTGGGAGGAAGGTGAGTGTTGTGGTGCTCATCCTAATCCCAAAGTGACCAGAAAGGTACATCCCAGCGAGCAGTGCCTCTGGGTCTGAGCCCCACAGGGACTGGCACAGCAAGAGGTTCCAGCCTATGAAAGGAGAAGTGGAGATAACCACAACTCCGGATATTTGGGAGCTGATGCTCACTTATAGGAGACATTGGGCCAGATCCATCTCCAGTGGGACTCTAGATCAGGCCCACAGCAGGGACCGAGTGGTGGATGCAAAGGGAACCTGTAAGAATTTGTGCTTTTTTGGCTACTCATGGCAAAGCCCTAGTGGGAGCAATGCTCATGGTGGGTACAGAGCCTGTGGATGCCCATTAAAGTGGGGTGGCTTGCTCACCTCTCCCATGGGCACGGCCTCCATCGCCCGCTCGTACTGCACTGCTCCCTCCAGCCCCTGCTCCTGAAAGACCTGGTCTGTCTCGTTGGAGAAGAGCACGGCATCCCCGTCGAAAACCACACGGAGCGGGGTGCTGGGGGCCTGCACCTCCTGCTGGAAGACAAGTGCTGCCGAGACCCCTGCAAGACAGAACAAGGTGGGGCTCAGGAGGGACACCCCCTCCTGGGGGCAGCTCATGCATGGCTGGCTCCTCCCCACGCATCTGCCGTGGTCCCATCCCACACCACAAATGTCAGGGTCTCCAAGCCAGGTTTTTTTCTGTGGGGGTCAGCCCAGCCTTCCTAGGGCTGTGTTATTCCCTGATGGGGATGGACAAGAAAGTGCTGCTGATCAGAGACTGATGTCTGGAGAGATGCTTGGCCTGCTAAGAGATTATGGGTGGTTGTGTAGGCATGAACAGCCCTCCTCCTGGTGCTCGCTCACCCTGTCAAGCCTGGCTTTAATGCCCAGATTTTGCACTTCGTGCTGTGAGTAATAGGGACTGGCACCTCCACTTGATTGGGGTAATTGGCTTAATTACAGGTGTCTTCCTACAGGCTGCTCCCTGCCCTCATCTGTGGACTGAGGCCCCTGGATGAGAGACACTTGTCAGAGCAATGATGTTCTTCAAGGAGGCTCCAGGAATGTGCTGGGTAGCAAAGGAAAGCCCAGGCTGCAGATGGCTTGCTCCTGACCTTGAAAGACCTTGGCCAGCTGATGTGCTTATACCCAAGCAAATTAATAAGGAGGTGATTAACCCCATTAGAGCTGTTGGGGAGACTGCACTCCCTCTGATCCACATCAAGCATGTGCTTACATCTATCACTGAGCACATGGTAACTCTGCATGTACCAAGAAATCAAACTTCTATAACATCCTCACTAAGCCCTGGGAATTGCTGATGCACTCTCATTGATCCAGGGAGCAGCAACGGGCAGCATCTTTGGTTAGAAAGGCTTAAATGTCAGTCAGGGAATGACCAGCCCATGGCAGAGCTATGGCCCCAATTATGCATAAAGCACTCAGTGACTTGTGAAGGTGTCTGAGAAACCCTGGTGTGTTTGCAAGCTACTGGTGGGGACAGAAGAGGAGACTGAACTGTTCAGGACTGTACTGGTAATCAGCTTGCCATTCACCCCCTTGCCCTTGTGAGAGCATGGGCTCTGGCATTGCCTCTTGGTACTGGGCTGCTTGGGAAAAGTGTGGTGCATTTGGGGATGTGGGATGGAGGGGGGAAACGCACCTCTCCGGAGGGCATTGCAGACATCTATCCTGTCAGCCGAGAGGAAGAGCTTGACCCTATGCGACTTCAGGTACTGGGTGGAGTCCTCATCACTGACGAAACAGAACTTGGAGATCTCCAGGCCTTCAGGTCAGGGGATGTGAGCAAAACCTGTTATGGGGCAACATCCTCCTCGCAGCTGCCCCTCCCCTCCCGGGGTCTCAACGTACTTTGCTACAGAGCTCAGGGCAATTAATTTCCCAGTGCTGTGTGGGGAATCCACCCCTGTTCTTGCTGTATCTTCTTGCCCTGTTGCTCCTACAAAACTGCAGAGTGCAGTTAAATATTCCCTTCATCCCTCCTTTAAATGAGCCTTGCTGACAACTCTCAGGGATTTAGTTTTTTTGATTTTTTTTTTTTTAAGAACTCTCTTTAGTCTCTTTAGTAGCTGTCTGAGGATACCCAGGCTGTGCAAAATGCTGCCAGACCCCCTGGAGCAAAGGATGTGGCTGAAGGGAGCCAGGCTCTGCCAAGAAGCCTGTACCGTGGGTGTGCTCCAGCACCCTCGGCAAGCTGCATGGGGCTGGCAGGAATTGGGCTTGTTTCCAAAATAACCCCTTCCCCTTGTGTCCCCTGGCTCTGTATTTGCCACTGATGTTCCACTGTGGTGCCTTATCTGCTTTGCAGCCTCCCAGGGGGAAGCAGACACCCTCGGGGATGGGGTCCCACTTACCGTAATGCTTGGCGCTGTTGATGATGCGTATGCCACTCTCTGGGCTGTTGTTGGAGAGCACCAGGATGTCAAAGAGGTCCTTCTCTTCCGGGTTGCTCTCCAGGATCTTCTCATTCACATACTGTGCTGCCTGTGAGGAGAAGATGAGACTGTTTTGGAGGGGCATGGCTGTGATGGCTTTGCTGGGGCCCTTTCGCAGTTAAGGTTAGTGGTTTGTGCTGTGTCTGTCAGCTATGGCAAGGCTAGCATGTTGTGGAGAGCCAGACAGAACAACCATCCTGCAAAAGCCATCACCAAGGGGGCAGGGAGCAGGATACCCTGTCGCAGGGGGGAGGGATGGACGTGTAGGACTGGTGAGGAGCACAGGTCTCAATGGCCGGCCAAGGGGCCAGGACAGGCATATCTGCACCCCATGATGGGAGTTGAGACATAAAGCTGGGAAAGTTGAGCTTTCACCCCATCCTGTGAGTGTCTGCATGTGCCCCTGGCCAGGCGTGGGGCTCACCTGGATGAAGGCGAAGGCTGTGCCTGGTGGCAGGGGCTTGTCCTGGTTGGCCTGCTGGTGCCTTGTGTACTCCTCCTTGCCTTTCTCCAGGTAGAGCTTGTGCTCTTCCTCCAGGTTGAAGATGGCTCTGGTGGTCACCGCAATGACCAGTGCCTCACTGGGGTCTTTCTGCAGGACAGGGAGGACAGAGGGGTTGGGGGACAGCAAAGAAGGAGCTTGGGCAGCTGGGATAAGCAGGGGGACACAGGGCTCCACCGACCAGGGTGGTGGGGTTGGGTGTTGGAGGCATCACCCATGCATCATGGTTCCTGATGCCAGAGGGCCTTCGGAGAAGAGGTACCAAGCCCAATCTTCATCTTCAAGCCACCAAGGATGGGGCAGGCTGTTGTGAAATCCTAACCTGTCTCGTAAGTGCCATATGCTCTGAGGACAGCTCACACCAGAGGTGACTGCTTCATAATTTTGGTGTTTGTGGGCTCAGCACAGCCCCATGGTTGTCTGTCTGTGCTGAGCTGGGCAGTGCTGCGTTTCTCTGCACGTACTGGTGGTTCTACCCTTCATTTGTGTCTGTTCTGGAGAGTCTAATAAAATGTCTATACATGTACAGAAGCTGCTGCTTTCTCCCTGGCTGCTCCAAAATTTAAGTGTGAGCAAATGCACCTGTCCTGTCCATGCAGCTGGAGGTTCAGTCCTCCAACCTCTTCCCATGTGGAAATCACACAGACCTCACTGGGACCAGGTGCCCACCAGCCCTGGGACAGGCCACTTCTGCTGAAACCTAGGCACAAGCAATTCAGGCCACCACAGCTCTGGGTTGTGGTGTGCCCTCTCCTGTGGTGGCATTTCAAAACTTGCTTTAGAAATACAGGATGCGTGTTTTGTAATAAACAACCATTTACCTGTTTCACATTGGTGTTTATGACTGTGCTTTCAGGCTCTGCCATCTTCGACTTTCAGCCTCAAAGAGAAAATATACAATTAAATTGATGCATTATAATACAACCAATCTAGAGAGGGGGAAGAGTGGAAAAGAAAGGGGACATCCTACCCACCAAGTGGGGCAGCCCAAATGAAGCTGCTTCTGCTGACAACAGCTCTGCCCTGAGAAAGCCTGGTCTAATAGCTCCAATTAAAGATGATGAAGTGGCTTTTCAGTCACAGATCACTGCGTCTCCCCACCCCCCCTGCCCAAGAGTATTTTTCGCCAGGGGGAACTGCTGAAAGCGGTTGTGAAGATCTTCCCAGCAAAATAAGTCTGTTTTTACACACCTTAACTAGGGCTTGGAGATTGATTGGAGCTAAAAAGCCAAAATATGTCAGATCTTATGGGTAGGCTTCTAGTTCGCATCCTTATTGCCTTTCTTGCTACATTTTTTTTGTCTGAATGGCAAATTTGTATCCACAAATAAGCAAGATCACTGTGTGAGCAGCTCATCAGCAGTTGCAAAAGGCCTGAGTAAGTAGAGATGTGTAGTGAGGGCTTGGGTGCAGGACGGGATCCTGCTGATGGGGCTGGTCTGCCACCTCACAGCTCTCTGAGCCAGCCAGCTCCTACACTAAAGGTCTCTGTGCAGTCTGTGCTAACCCAGGTCTGGCAGATGAAAGTCATGAGGGTACATGGTCTGCCTGTGCCTGGCAGCTGAATAAGAAATCACATTTATTTTTGTACACCCATGTCCTGTGGTTTCTGTAACCACCATGCTGTACAGTTCATTTCTATGCACTAGTCAGTGTTAAGGATTCAGCCTGTGGCATGAGAACTGTTCCCATTCCCACTGAGGGGCATCCCACAGGGGTTGTTTCCACCCAGCTCCTACAAACGCTGTGGGGTTTCTCTGGAGAGCAGAGGCAGCAATGATGTCTCTGTACAGATGTGCTGGAATGGCAGGGGGGTTAAGACCTCATTTACTAGTTCATGATTACTGGGTTGGAGGGCTGTGCAAGCATAGACCAAAGCCAGCATGCAGTGTAAAGGGGAAGTCAGGGTCTCCAGGGAGACCTTTCTCCTGCCCCAATTTTCTTTACTTCATTTTTATTATTCAGGGGCTGTGCAAATTGTTGCCTGGGCTGGTAGGAAATGCTCTCGGCTGATGCCAGCCCCGAGAGCCAGAGCCTTGCCATGGAGGTTCAATGTTTGCATGTGCACTCCCCAGCTGCCACCGGGGTGGAAAGCCCCCCTGGCAGGGCTGCTCCCCCAGCCAGGGGGTGCCTAGGAAGCCAGGAGATGCCGAGCATCCCCCTGCTTCTTCCACCCATAACCAAGGCTGGGAAGGGGTCTCCTCCCACAGAGCAGGGCAGAGGGTGGCAACCACCAGCCCTTGTCTGCTGAGCAGGGAGAAGCTTTCCTCTGACCGAATTTCAGCGAAGCACTTCTCTAAAAGTGAAAATTAAGTAATAGGAGGCAACGGAGCTGAGCAGCCCTTCCTGGAGGGCGAACAACACCTCTAATTTCTGCTCTGTCCTTCCAAGTGCTGCAAACCGAGCCTGACTTCTGCTTTCCATCTACCTGCCTCTAATAACTGCAGTATCACTTACATACAGATATGTGTATACACACATGCACACATCTCTGCTGCGAACACCCCCCATGCACACAATGCCGGACACGTAGGAATGCATTTCAGGTGGATGCTTGCTGGTTCCTGCAGCCCATCCTACAGCTGCGTAGCACAGAGCAGCTATTACTCCTCTGCGCACAGCCAAGATTTTGCTAGCGAGGAAAGCCCAAACTCACCGTGAGCGCTGCCTCTGCTCCCTGGCGCAGCCTGTCCAGTGGCAGCATCCAAATTTTGCCCAAGACGCTGCCGTTTATATTTCCCCCTCCCCGTGCTGGCAGGAAGCAGGCAGGAGTCAGGCTGGGGTGCAGCTCCGCTCCCCGGCGTGCTGGGATTTGTAGGCAGCCCGGCGGGTTGGCGTCATGCCCAGGCCAGACTGCACTTCCCAGCCAGCGCCGCACAGGCGGCTCACGGCCGCCCAGGCCTGGCCTCCGCCATGGCCACGCTCTGGGGAAGGGGCTCAGCCCTGGTCCTGCTTTTCAGGCTCTCAGAGCTTGTGCTCAGTTGCCGCTCACTGCCCACAAGTACTGCAGTGATGTCTATTTCTGTAGCCAGGGTATTTATAGCGTGCCTCCAGACCTCTCATTTCCAAGCCCTTGAATACATAATGGTTGTGTTTTTGACCGAAAATACAGGGGTACCTGTTCAAGAGCGGCTTGCAGCATATGCAGGCAGATGCAGGGCTCTGGGCCAGGGAGAAAGGCTGGTGCAGAGTGTGGCAGGGCGCACCACATTTTCAATTTTACTGTAATGTTTTTGGGTCCCTTTTCCCTTCCTTTCTGAAAGCTGCCTCTTAGACACTGCCCTGAGCAGGGGTGATTTTTGGGCTGGGATCTTGCTTTTCCAGGTGGGCTGTGTGGCACCCAGCCCTGCGAGGCTCATGCTGCCAGGGTATTTCAACACCCCCTTTCTGCCCAAGAGTGAGATTGGGGGCGGGGGG